CGACTATTATTACTATTACTACTACTACTACTACTACTACTACGACGACGACGACGACGACGACGACTACTACTACACGTTCCAGCCTCGAATCAAAATCCAAGTTTGCTAAACTCCGAACCCCGGGCCGACAACGCCTCAAATCAAACACGGCGTACTACGAAAATTCATGTGAGACCGCACAGGCTCGGTGAAAGAAGCCAGACGGCACTATAAGTACGCAACAGCTTGGCCAGGAGTTCCGACGCGTGGAGTCTGAGAAAGCATCCTGCCTGAAGAAGCTGATCTAAAACCGCTACAAACCCAAAACCCTGGATCCTGAACCCAAAATACCCGCGCTCGTTTTTCGGGTCATTGACGAGAAAGCAGGAATGAAGGTGTTGCCAGCGGGCATGCAACGGCAACCTAAGACTTCAAAGCACCTGGGTGTTGGGGTGGAAGAGTTTTCTGACGGCTTGGACGAAGGCATTAGGGCTTCAGTGTTTCATGCTTCATTAGAACCCACACGAAGCTTTTGTAAATGCAGTTCGCCGCAGAACTGCCCTAGAAACCCTACTTGGCCCTACTTGACTTGTGGGATTCCCTGATCCTTAAGTGGTCTTCTTGTGTCCAACCAGCTTCAGCTTCGGAAATTTTTCTGAGCGGAGCCATTGTGGTCTACAGGAGTCTGTGGAGCTTGCGAGCTCGCTTCAGGATTTGGGGTGCCGTGAGTCAAGGACTTTTCGATCTAGGCTTTAAGAGCTGTGTGTGGTTACTTCAAGCTTCCGGAGATGTAAAGTTTCAATCAGGGCTAGACGCCCGACCGAGGACGAACCTGCACAACCAAGGGCTCGATGAGCAAAGCTTCTCCAAACCTGAACACCAACCTTTCAGCACTACCGGCGTCACTGCCGCGTTGAGGTTCCCGCTGCACCGGCGCCTGCCGTGACACCGGTGAAGGCGGCGGGTGGCTGAAGGTTTATATCACTGGGGTGTGGAAACTCTCGTGCCCATGCTCGTCTTAGTCGTCGTCCTTCTCACCCAGGTCGTAGCAGCAATAGTCACTATATGTAGTCATGGATGGTAGTCATAGTCGTTGGTGTTATTGGTGTTGTTGTTGGTGGCAGTTTTCGTTTTGGCGCCGGCACCAGCAGGAGCAGGAGCAGCAGCTGCAGGAGGAGGAGGAGGAGCAGTAGTAGTAGTAGTGGTAGTAGTAGTAGCAGCAGCAGCAGGAGTAGGAGTAGGAGTAGAAGTAGCAGTAGCAGTGGCAGTGGCAGCAGCAGCAGCAGCAGCAGCAGCAGCAGCAGCAGCAGCAGCAGCAGCAGTAGCTGTGGCTGTTGCAACAGCGCCGGCAGCTCTGATACCGCTGGACGGGTGCAGGGCAGGTTCTGTGGAGGACATTGCCCTGAATCCTTCGAGGACCGCCAGGTATCTGAAGCATGCGATGCCTGGCATCAGGCAAGTGACTCGGGCCGGTTGCCCGACAGGAGCGCAAGGTCCTTTCCAGGGTTCAGATGGCGTGTCGGTGGGGCTCTTGAGGCCAACGTGCCTGCGCCAGGCACATGACAGCAAGGCGATGAGCTAAAGCGCTTGCTGAGAGTCTACAACAGAAAGTTGCGATCTCCACCCGACTTGGAAAGGGGAGGCCATTGACTGGCAGTTGGCTGTGGGGTACACCAGTTTTTCGTTTGCACAAGGATAGGCGAGTCAGGCAAGTCCTTCTGCGGCTGATCTAGCACACGCCCATGAGCTGACACTCGCAATGACTTCGCTGCCAGAAAGTCTCGAATCACGTCGGCACGAAAGGCGTTCCCACGAGGACGAGTTATGGATCTGGATACCCCGACCAGATGATCCTAGATGGCGGGTCGCACCTCGCAGTTGATCCCTCTGCCAGAAAACCGATAGCTTGAGTTGTTGCCCATGTCCAGCCGTTGCTGCAGGCCGTTTGCCTGATATGCCCTACCCGTGAGTCGCTGGGGCGCCGCTGTGGCTGTTGCAACAGCGCCGGCAACTCTTACACCGCTGGCCGGGTGTAGGGCAGGTTCTGTGGAGGACATTGCCGTGAATCCTTCGAGGACCGCCAGGTATCTGAAGCACGCGATGCCTGGCATCAGGCAAGTGACTCGGGCCGGTTGCCCGACGCGAGCGCAAGGTCCGTTCCAGGGTTCAGATGGCGTGTCGGTGGGGCTCTTGAGGCCAACGTGCCTGCGCCAGGCACATGACAGCAAGGCGATGAGCTAAAGCGCTTGCTGGGAGTCCCTTGGATCTACAACAGAAAGTTGCGATCTCCACCCGACTTGGTAAGGGGAGGCCAATGACTTGCCTGACACTTGGCCACGTGTTGGGGCGATCTTTCCATTAGGATGAAAGTAAGCTGATAAAATGCTAGTAAGGTAGTCGTCGCCGTGGTTCGCGTGACAGAAGTTGGGCGGCACGTACGACCGCCCGAATCTGCAACTTAGATGTAGTTGCAACTTGAAGTTGTTGCTGGAACTTCCCTCTTGAGCTTCCCTCGGCCCTGTGTGTAGGGTTGGCGCAATAGGGCCTAGAATTCCCGGGGTTGGAACGCAGAGTTTACTCTTTGAGTATCGAAGACAATCAGTAGTGCTCAGTAGTGCTCGGTATTACAAAACCGATGATTACAGAGGCGCTATTGTTCAGTTTTCGTTCTGGGTCATGATGCAGAGCGGGTTCACTTCCTGCAATAGTATTCATTTCTGACCCCGAATACAGTTACACTGCTCTATTCCTCGAAGCCCTTTGAATTCACCTTCTAGTGGTTTGCGTAGGGTTTCAGGGTGTAACAGTCCACCCGACTAGTTACCAGTTTCCACAGCCTTCAGGAGAAGGGAGCGGCCCACGTATGTCATGCTCACTGATCGCAATTTGTTGAACATAGGGACCTAACTAATTACCAATACTATTTTGGGATTCCTTATTTTGACTATAGTATAATATACCCCAAAACACTATTGTAATTATTAAGGCTTCGACATTATGCCCAGGTGTTGGACAGACAGGTATGCACAGTCTTTTCAAGCAGTTACACTCAGGCTAGTGTTATACATTGATGTGTCTCTTCTCCTCACTCTGCATACATGTACACCGCTTAAAAAGCGTAAATATCGAGGCCGGCCCTCCCAAATAGTCGGCCCGTGGTGGCATGTGAAATGCTGGACTCGGACGATTTTTTGCCCTACCCATGAGTCGCTGGGGCGTCGCTGTGGTTCCTGCAGTGCCAGCAACTCTTACACCGCTGGCCGGGTGTAGGGCAGGCCTGTGGAGGACATGGCATCGAACCCTTCGGGATTCAGATGCCGTGTCGGTGGGGCTCTTGGGGCCAACGTGTCAGCGCCAGGCACATGACAGCAAGGCGATGAGCTAAAGCGCTTGCTGGGGGCCCCCTGGATGCACGAGGACGTTGTGCCTCCACATGAATCTGAAAGGGGAGGCCACCATCTAGGCCAAGTCTCTATGTGCTCTCGCCGTTCTTTGCAGCT